GGCATGAGCGCCCTGCTGGCGGCCCAGTACGCCGACCTGGACGGTAAGTGGACGACGCGCGCGCGCCAGCCCGACGGGGCGGCGCCGGACGCGGCCGCGGCGCCGGCGGCAGCGCCGGGACCACTCGGCTCCGGAGTCCTCCTTGATATTGAAGAGGGCGTGCCCCAAGGGCCTCGAAATGATCGATGTAGCGAAAGATAATGCCTTGAGTTAGAATAGAAAATTGTCTTGGAAGATTGGATAGCTACTCTGAAGAGTGTATAACCTCTCCTAGGTATAGGTACAAATCATTTTACGACAATTGGGAAAATGTCGTTGCCATTAAGAGATAAAGTCCTCTATGATGTTAGTATATATGAGGGGAATTCTTTTGCTATTCTTAAGTAATTCACTTCTTAGTATGTTTTCAACAAATCACGAAGACTAACCGACTGTAAGAGAAATTAACTTTCAAGAAATCAAAATGAACGGAAATATATAATTTTCTCATTTTCCTAATAAATCTTCCCATTTGCGTCAATTAATTGTTGGTTTCCACGCGAATCTCTACGAATCGGGGCGTACGCTGGTGTTCGCGTGAGCGCTCGCCAAGCGAGTCGAGGCGAGCCGAGCCGAGTGGCGAGAGCGTGAGCAGCTGGGTCGCCGCCAGGCGCCGCCCCACGGGGCGCTGTGAGCACCCTGCACTGCCGGACCCCCTGCACCCGCCCGCACCCCGCAGCCCCGCCCCCCACCCCGCACTCGCCCGCGAGGCGGCGCTCGTAGCTTCTCCGGCGCCGAGGCCGCGCTCTGCTCGAGGGAATGCAGCTTGTGCTTCGAGCTGTGGCCACCGTGTTGGTTAGGTTACCAAACACCGGCGAGATTATGAACATATAAGAACTGAAGTTATTTAATGCAATGGTTACCTATTTCTTTTAATTGTTATTGTAATATATGTAAGGGATTATTATAATTTTGAATTTGTTTTGAAATTGTTTCCGTATTGTAAAACGTAAATATATAGACATGACGAAACGACACATTTGCAATCAATTATTTTTTATATTTGTGGGAAGTTAATATGAAATAAATGATTATTAACTCCGTTTAAAGAAGCAGTAGTGTTATCAGTCAACAGTTGTGTTCTATGCCATAAACATGAGGTGAAAATACAGAGATAGATTACGTGTTGTGAAGCCACGACAGTGACCGTTGAGTCATTCTTGATTTATCTCCGAGTGGAAAGATAAAATAGTATTTTGGCATTATACTATTTCGCCAATTTACTAAATATAGTCCTCTAGTTACTAAATTCCTCTATTTTTGTAAGTGCTGGACGTCTCTTTAATAATTTGAGTGAGAAACGTTCCCCGTTTGAAATCTTTTAGTAGTAATTATACACACTACCAGATCTAAACTTAATCATGATTCTCATACACCAGTGATCAAGTCTGATGTCAAAAAATATGTGAAAAAGAAAATTTTATTTTCATTGTAGATTCGAAAGTTCGCAAAATATACTTAAGTAGATTCTAAAATTCACATAATTAACGTAGTTAATTAGTTGTTTAACATTTATCTGAGCTTATTTTATCTTCTTTTCATAAATCCTAAAATTTGAAGAGTTGCATTAATCAGTTTCATGCTCATTTATAACATAGTCAACCCTCAAATTTGATTTCTAATATTAATATTGCTTTATTCATTGTCCCAACCTGTGGGAAAAAAATAGTTATCACAAAAACGATATTTAATTGTCTGTAAGCTTTTTAGAATTCAACTTGGTCAAAACATTTGGACTGCCGAACAATATATTACAATATAAATTATTTTTTCGTTATTATATTATGAGGTAATATAAGCAGAGCACGGTTTCTAACCGCCGACTATCCGAGCTTTCATCTCTCTTTATCTTTTGTGTCTCTACTGATACGTGTGTTGTTTGTACAGATATGTACGGAAGTGCATGTTGTGTTGTCTCGTGTTGTATTGTGTATTTTTCAGTGTAGAGTGTCATGTTGTGTATTAGAATCTTGTTAACCACTGTCAATTGTATAGCACAAAACAAGAGTTAAAGGAATATAATAAAAATTAAATTTGATTCAAACACCAGCAGTTCTAACATTAGAAGAATGGCTTCCATACATTCAGTTTCCATGCTTTTATTAATCTAAAATATATGCTACCAATGTTTTTGTGGAAAGTTAGTGATTGTTTTTTCATAGACTGTATATTATCTATTTTAAATAATATTTTGTTTTACTTTATTTACAAAGTATACTATACTTACGTTTTAATAGAATTAGTTGAAGAGCTTCATATCTAATACCTCATTTTTTTCATCTACGAGAATGCTTACAAACTTATTTTTTGTGCTGAAATGTGGTCAGTGGTTAGCAAGCATCACTGTTTCTCTTGTGTCTCACTGAACGTCTTTGTTGCACGATCAAAGAAGACAGCAATTCGCCTTTTTTCCATGAAGAAGTGTCAGACAACTCTCACACGAACATAAGACTGGAGCCGCATGCGACGATGTTTTACAGAGAAGAGCACGTCCTTTGGAGCAGATGGCGACTCACAGCTCTCTCTCGGGCAGTCACGAAGATATTCCTCGCCTTCAACTCATAACTTCACTCAAGTTAATTCCTACAACACCTAATTCCGAGTTTAATTGAACAATTTTGTATTCTGTTCCGCACTACACTGGTACAACGAGCGATAAATTCTTGATTCTTTCATTTCATTCCGACTTCTACGCAGGCGTTTCAGAAGCTAGAAATCATTTACATGCATTCGCTTTCGGAACTGAGCATAACTTTTTCAGAGTTGCGAATTCATCAATCTGATTAATGCTCCATTCCTACCAGAATTTGTTTTTGCTTCACGGCAAATAGGATCTGAGAAGCGTGTTTTAGTTGTTCGCTTGCTTCCGACACTCTTCAAATATCAAGAGAATAAAACTTCTTTTCTCGAAGGAAGGAAAGAAAGAAACAAGAACGCAGCCGCTCGTTTCGTAAATTGCTCCGTTACTGGCTGCGGCCTCGCGGGAGACAAGTTGTGTTTTGTAACGCGCTTGTCCGAGGCAAGTGGCATGCTGTTGAGATCGACGAGCGGGATTCGTTCTGATAGTTTGGAGCGTTTACGTTGACATGTTGACATAAACTCAACTCTCGCTCAATAGTTTGGCGTCGATTATGTCGTATTTGCCGCGCGTAGAGAAGCGGTGTGTAATAACGGTCTAGAATTAGAATCGATATAGGTATATTTCATTTTTTAAGTCGATTTGCTGGGCATCAAAAAATGTGAACGATTCTAGTTATTTTACCCCCTTCCATTACATTGATTTGAAACTACACCATTTAACATTACTAAACAAAATAACTCTGGGGTCTCTCCATTATTTCAATCGTGAAACCCTCCCACTTCGGCCATCACCCTTTCCTTCTCTTTCGTTTCTTTCTCCGTTATCTTCTCTACTCTCCTTCCCCACATTCAATCTCACTTTTATTCTCTCCATCTTGTCGCACGCGTAGCATTCTCTTCTGTCTTCTCCACCCCCGTCCCCTCGCCACTGCCCCGTCCCCGCGCCCCTCAAGTGTATCGACCCCCGGAACGGCCTCCTTCCCCCTCCCTCTTCCCCCACCCCCTCTCATCGTCGCGCTTCCCGCTGCAGAGCGAATCTTCGTCCGCCTCAGGGCGCTGACACCGAATCATCTCAGACGATTCAAACTACCCGGTTGCTCTCTCCGCTCCTATCATGTACATTTCGAGGAAACAAGAACATTTCTCACTCTTGTTTATTGCTCGTGAGTAGATTCTGCAATGCTATCTGCAGAAGTTCCTTTACGGTTATTATCTCTACCTCAAAACACGATAAGAAAATTACTTTATAATTTCTTGGATCCCAATACATAGGCAACAGTTTTGAATAAAACGTAAAAGTAACGTTAAGAACCCAGGCAAATCTTAATCAACAGCAAACGTTAGTAATATATTCACATAAAGCATTTAAGACTGAGTTTTAATTGAGGCATATATTTTAATTCCTCGCATCTAATTCAAGAACATTTCTTCCCAAACTACAGCCAGACTCCCTAAAAACATAGGAGCACATTCGTCAGCTTCCATCAGAAACGTATGTAAAACAGCAACAATTTGACACGAATTACTACGACTAAGGTATGTCATTAAATACACATTTCCAAACCTACACTAACACTTGTTTGTGAATAACGAAAACTTTCAATAGAAAATGTGTCATATATGTATAGCCACTACTTTAAGTTAAATGAGACTGTACTTTCTCATTTCTGCTTCTTCTTCTACTTCTTCTGCGATTCATCACTGCGTGTCTCCTTTTCTGTGAACCTCATAAATATTGAGAGTGGTAGAGCGAAATGGAACAGAAGGCGTGTGTATTTCTCATGATGAGTCGTTTTATATTGCCTACAAGAGTCGCATGAACCAAGATTCGTAATGGATCGTTTATTCTCTTTTATAAATTGTTATATGAGTTCCATCGCGACTTACAGTAATAAACACAGCCTTAATAACAAGTTAGTTTATTAAACAAATGTCAAATAATGTTTTGGTTTTTGTGGTTCACTTTGAGACATCATTTTAAATGTGAAATCGTAACTATGACTAGCATTTTCTTTAAAGAAACATAAATGTTGCATTAAAGGGCATTTCTAATCGGGAAAATATATTAAATATCAAGTATTTCTACAGGAAAATCAATTTCTAATATCTGCTATCTTAGCACTTAGGCATTACTTTAAAATTTCAATTGAATACTTGTGCATTAATTTTACCTTACAACGGAATAGAGGAACTGCACCAGCCTCTGGACGCCGACCCATTTCGCCGACCGCTCGCCACGCCCCGACCCGTTCCGTGTGTCGTGTGTGCCCCCCCCCCCGACCCCCCACCCGATGTCGCTTCTCGGTGTGTGCTAATGATTCTTCCCGCAGGTGGCACCGAAGAAAACTATTGAATTGCCTTTCTTTCTGTTGCTCCTCACGCCAGCCGTCGCTTGGTTGCTTGCAGCGAGGAACAGCTTTCTCAACGGCAACCTGGTGTTTTCCGCGATGCAGGACCCCGCGCAGGCGGCCAACCTGCTCACCGCCGACAACAAGCAGCTCGACATGCTGGAGATCCCGGGCAAGGGCCGCTGCTTCGTCTTCATAGCCAAGTGAGCCCTCCCTGCCTGGCGGGGTGCGAACTGCGTTTTATGCCACATGATGCTTAGAAATGTGCAATGCTTGGTTTCTGGTGGAAAGCGACGGAACGGCGTTCAGATAGCTTGAAAACATAATAGGAAACGAAAAAACAACAAAAAACCGTGCACATACACTGGCCATTTCGAATTTTGGTGCGACCAACTTCCGTAAACTCAATATTAAATAATGTTCCACTGATCATTTCTACCAACGTAATAAAATTATTGGTAAAGAACGATAAACGTGCGTGGCGGAGTTGAAACAACGTTTCATGCTACATGTTTCTTAGAAATGTGCAAGGCTTGATTTCTGGCGGAACGTGTCGGAACGGCGATCCTCTACCCCAAGAACAAAATAGGGGGGGACAATTAAAATCAGAAGACAAACACTTGGCAACTTCAAGTTTTAGGTCGTAAACTCAAAATTAAATAATTTTTCACTTAACTGTATCATTTCTACTAACGTAAAGAATTATTAGTAAAAAACGATAAAATATTATAAACTCAATTTTTATTTTCTAGTATTATCATTATATTTACATAGGGCCACTGCTATAATTATTACTAAGCATATTGTTATTAAACATGATTTATAATTGTTAAATTGTACATATAACAATTTCTATTAAATTAATAGTTAATTTGAGTGCGTTCGGGGACCTAAAATTTTATATATCAAGCACTGGAATAATGAATGAAATTGTGTGCTTTTTAACGTGTTTACCTTTTTATTTTACGTCTCTTACGACATTTTGTTTTGAAAATGTATTTTCAGTGTCAAATCTAAGAAAACTATATTTTTTAACCAGCTAAACATGATCTGCAGTTGAAACCGTAGTTTACAATGAATGAAATATAATGTTTCTAACCATTTTAGTTTTTTGAAAGGTGAAAAAATTATTTATGTCATTTTATTTTAAAATTCTCTTTCTAGAGTGGAATACAAGCGTATCTTTATGTAATGCAGCATGAACAGCGCGAAAAATGCTAAGAAAGATTAATGAAATAACGTGCTGGAATAAAGCTGAATGTGAAAGACATTCATGTCGTTTTCTTTCATTCTTCATGAAAAACATTTCAAGTGTGAATTTCCCATTCAACTCTTTAACACTTTTCAATGAATCTAGCATTACTTTGCTTATATATAAAATGAATGAAAGAAATGAAGCTAACATGGAAAGCATTGACACTAAATATTCAATACAAAAGACGCATATTACTATATTGAATGTAATTTGTAATCAAATACTTTGAGATAATACATAATTGAAATAAAAAGATATAATAATAATAATAATAATAATAATAATAATAATAATATAATCCAAATTAACTGTAGAAACAATGTTTTGGACAAATTATAGGAAATAAACAATAACGAATTAATACTTCGTGTTTTCTGTTTATGTATTTATTTACGTTAAAAACAGCTAAAAACTGTGTGTGACATGCAATGGGGAGAAGTTAATTTGACGTTACGTTTGAATTTAAGGTTTTATCATCGTGTTTTCTTAAACTATGAACAAAAATCTTAAATTAGACATGAGAATTACAATAAATATCACTTATTACTTTTGTAGTGTCATTTGGCTCTTTTTAGAATATTTATTGCAGGAAAATTTGTAAAATATATTAAACAAAATATGAAATTAATAGTATGATACATATTAAGTACTGCATTAAAAGTTTTAATACCTATGTACGCATTGTCCTCAAAGATAATATCAATATTTGGAATTTACATTGAGTCACAAGCATGATATGTATTACTTTTACTTTAGGCTGTAAAGAATTTCAGTATTAAGGGACAATTACGTAACTAAAATTGTGAAAAAGTTCAATTATAATAATAGATTATTTTATGTAAACAAATGTCATTTTTGTAACAAAACTTTACATTTGAGTTTTGTTTATACCGTTGGACACACGATATTTCTTAATCTTAAGTATTTTGACTTCACAATATTTTTTCAGTGCTTCGATATTCAATGACAAGCGACTTCAATGCACTACGTGAACAAACTACCTTTTCAGCACGAACGAATCTGCTTAAGGATACTACCCGCCGTACGTCAGTGTACAACGGGCTCGCGTACTTGTACAAATTAGGCTTTGGTTTATGCACAATTGCAAATTCTACCATAATTATCACGAATTAAAAATTATGTTTGGGAATATTATGATATTCATTGATTATTGAACCCCATATGTAACGTTAATCCCTTAAAGAGCTGATTGTCGCAATTAGAGTAAAGGTTGAAAGGCCTCAGGTTTCGAGACTAGGCGATGGATTTTCGACAGTATCTACACACTTACATACATTGCACTACCGCACACTGCAGTATATCAGTCGGAAACTTAGAGCTTCCCCCAGGCTGGAGCGGTGCCCAGCTGAGGGGTGAGATCTGGAGGCATAAACCGCAAGGAGACTTGTATGTCGGGCCTGAACCCATGTTCCTCAGTGGAAGAAATAATCAATTGTGAATATCTCCCTTGAAGAGCTGGCGCGTTCCTCTCGCATTTAGATGGAAAGGCGTGGCGCCCGTGAGCGGTTCGAAGGCGCGGTCCAGCCAGTGCATGTGTCCTTGTGCGCGTCCGCAGGTACTCTTACGACCCGCTCTCGCAGTCGCCCAACGAGAACCCGGAGGCGGAGCTGCCCCTCGGCGCTGGAGACTACGTGCTCGTGTGGGGGCCCATGGACGAGGTAGGACTCTTGCACTTCATATCAGAGTGCCTCCAATGGGCTGCATCAGTAGCGCAACCAAGATTTTTTTTTTCCACGGGTGTCGAGCCGACTTCACGTTCGTTTATTGAAAAAATAGCATTCCTTCTAAATTTAAAATATTTAATTTATCGATTTATAGTAATTTAAAACGTATTTAATTGAGATATTGAATGGAATCCGTTCCTTTAGAAAATTAGTAAAAATCTATCAGTAAATATATGTCATCGACTTGTGGGGAAGCTGAAGCCATCGCCTCCCTATTGGATGCGCTACTGATTTTCATATAAATCTAATCTTAAATACCGATTTTTCATAAATTGCAAGTAAGATAAAATCCAAATTGAAGAAACGTTGATGTTGAAATGTATTTCAGAAGTACTTTCTCGCTTGTTATTAATATAAAAATTATGAACAAATTACACGAGGGACAAGATATTTACCCCCAGGAAGGTAGAGTGCGCAACGTACTCCGTTTTATATGAAGATTACGATTATTACAATAAAAACGACATATCACGTCACAGTTTTTAAATATACCCTTTCTTAATACCGTGTCATGCCGTATTTTGCTATTAATGTAAATACATTTAAAGAAAAGGAAAAATGAAAGATATGTGGAATCAATACGCATAAAATCTATTTAAAACAACTTATTTGTTTAATTCACCTATAACACTTTTATGAGATATCAACAATATTAGGCTATCGTGTTTGTTTGCTTTTACATTCTATATTCGAAAATTGCCGTCTTTATTCTCGCGTCTGTCGCCTTATAGTCGCGCTCAATTACGAGTAAGTCTTAGTGGTTTTAGTAGGTCTTTGTGGATGTTTTAAAAACAAGTCACATGCACCCTCATGTTTTCTACTGCGCAACAATTACAGAAAGGAATTATTTAGCCCCTTACCGTATCGCAATTTTACAAGTATCCAACGGTTGGGGCAGCAGATTCTGAGTCAGTCGGAGTCGTGCGGATCTGTACCTCCTGTGCGCATGAATTTTGTGTCTGGTTAATGAATGGTTCGTGGGAGTTAATGAATGGTGTGTTCGATATAATTCAGATAAATAACAATTGTTTATGGATTCTTCAAAATATAGTTTCAAAGCAGTAAAATAATTTCCTTTATGAGTAATGAAAAATCGAAAGAAGGAATTTTCATCGGTCCGCAAATCATAAAACTCATGTGGGATGAAATATTGGAAGAAAAATTGTAACACATTTCGTTAGCAACTTGACAGTCCTTAAAGAGAGTTGTTCATGTATTTCTCAGGACAAAAGAAGAAGACGATTATAAAATATTGTTCACAGAATGGTTAGAAAGCTACAAGTAAATGAGGTGTAGAAATCCCTGAAAATTATTTTTTTTACTCCCATCTTATTTTTTTCGCATAATTTGGATGATATTAGTTATAAACATAGTGAACAATTTCATAAAGATATTCCTACAATGGAGAAGAATTACCATGGGCGTAAAGATCCTGCAATGATAGGAGATTCTTCCTGGTCTCTTGTCAGTGAGAGAGAGTTAATAAGAATACGCGCAAAGGATTTTTAAGGAATTTCTCCTTCCAAAATGTTTCAATATTATTGCACGAATATGCGCATTAAATTTTTAACTTGTTCTTACCTCATAAAAAGCATGCTCATAAAATTTTCTAGTAATATAACTGGAGTGATAATGCAAAAATTAGTACAAGATTTTTTTTAATACTCAATATACTCATATCTTTTGAACCCTTCGTGATAGAAACTTTTTATAACGATTTTCGAAATTAGAGTGATCGTTTCTTTTGAAATCATCTACTTTTATCCTGGAGGTATGAAAAAACAAATTTTGTTTCCCAGTGTTATTAGATTAAAGTATTTAATATTAAAAATAATAAACTCATCTTAATTTTAATACTTATATCTACAATTATACTGTTCATAATGCACAAGCTGTAAAAAATAATTTGTGTCAAAATATTCACGATTTCATTTGAAAAATTGAAACGATTTTCCATTAGGCACGTATGAAAGACATGATAGATGAATTTTATATCTTAAAAATCTATATTTTAATAATTTACTCTTAAAAAAATCGGGGGAAAATTCGAAAAAAGTCGAACATGACTATTTTAGATGCAAGTGTCTTCATTTTTTTATTGAGTGTTAACATTGTTTTATAATTTTCAGTTTTCATAAAAGCGCTTTCGCGTAGTATATTCCTATGATTATTTTAAAATCTTAATTCCACATTTTACTTTCTTCGCTCTGTTCTTTCTATTTTACTTTTTATCCGAATGTTCTTGAGATTGATTTTCAATTAATTCTTCACTTTATCTTATTCCATTCCCCTCTCCTATCGCCATATTTTCTTTCTAGTTTTCCACCTTCTTTCTCTTGCGAATCTTTTTCGAATATCGTTCCTTCTTCTCCTAGTATTTTTTGTTCACGTTCTCAGTTTCGTTTTCTCGTGTTTTTTTCGGGTCCTTGATTAACTAAGGCAATTTTCTTCCTTCTCACTCCTGCTTTATTTCTGATCTTTCATAATTCAATGTTTTCTTCTTCATTTCTCACGCGTCCCTCGTATAAAAAATATTAGTTTTATTGTTAAATCACAGTCATTTACCAGTGATGTATTTCACAAATCTATCTTCTCTAGTTTGATGTTTGAAGAAGGCACCACACGGTAATCAGAAAACTATACAATGGAGCCCTATTGCCTGAACTCAAAGATCTGTCATGTCGACAGCTTTCAACCGGCACTTCACACAGTTCGCCCAAATTATTCGGTTGAATATAAATAAGCTAACAAAGAGGCAAACGTGAGCGAAGCAGTGCCTGCACGGGCTCCTTGAGCGCGGGAGGGCAGACGGGCGAAGCGCTGAAGGGGGTGGGGTGCGTGGGCGCAGGACGGCTTCTGCGACGGCGAGCTGCTCGACGGACGGCGGGGCCTGGTGCCGTCCAACTTCATCCAGAAGCTGGTGGGCGACGACCTGCTCGACTTCCACCAGTCGGTGGTGCAAGGGCTGCGCGCCGCGGCGCTGGAGTGCGACCCAGCGGCGGTGGAGGCGGCGGCGGCGGCGGCGGCGGGCGGGCAGCCCGTCGACGACCTCGCCTCCGCCGCGCACGACGTCGTCATGATGGGTGAGTGCCCGCGCCCTCCCACCGCTCGGAGGCCATCGCCAACACCGACCGGTTTCTTCTCAGTATCGACGGGCCTAGTGAGCCCGCGATTCTTCTCAGCAAATCATGTGCCTTCCTTCTCATAGCATCTCGAAATTGTTCTTTAGTATAATGAATAAGCAGATTTCTTTTGTGATTTCTGTTGCTAGAATATCGTCATTGTCCATTAAAGAATATTTCAACAATTCTAGATGACAATAATACTCGGAGTTTTACATTGTCTATTTATTTGCAATTGATTACGAAAGTACTAACATCAATGAGAAACAATTTCATTTTGTTTGGTGGTGAAAATGTAGGTCATTGAATTCAAATGTTAAGTTAATTATTTGCTATGAAGAGTGATCACAACTAAACATCAAGGATGTGTTTCATGTTCAAGAGTTAATTTTGTTCTGAATATAACAGCAGTTATAAAAATTCTCTCTAGCTTATCAAAAAGAAATAAGTTCAAAATTTATACTTTCTGTCCTTTGGGTGGCAACAAGAATTGCAAAGACCAAATTACTTCATGTCAAAAAATATATTTAGATAAATGTATATTCAAAACAAAACTTCAGAAATTTGTTTATAAGCTGTTTTCAAAAAAAGCATAATTCTACATCTTATTGAATAGTCTTTGTACACGGAAAGTATATTTCTGACAGAATTTGAATTTGTGGTGTATATTTTTGTATGAGTAAAGACTATAAGATTATATTTAATAATGAGTCCAAAACTGTTGTTCATTACACATAGCTTTGGAACTTGAAAACTACAAAAGCTCACAGTGAGTACACTTATTTGGAAACAAAATATTTCTCTTTTGTTCAAAATAATTTAAAACAAGTTAATTTGTAATTAAATGATCTTTATAAATTTCAAAAGAAAAACAATGCAATTACTTGGGTAAATGCTATCAGAAAATTGGCAAGAATATAATTGGCTCTGTTACTTTTGCTCCTTCCTAAATTCAATAAAATTTCTTTTGTTGCCATTAAATAAATTTTTAGAAAAAAAATGTAACTACACAAATCTTTGATGTATTTTAATATTAACAAATTATTGTTATTAATATTACCTCAAAAATGAGGTTCTGTTTAAACTAGAGTAGGCTTCTGCAACTCTTCTAGGAAGGCAAATTATTTGCAAGATTGTAGATAATATTCTGATATCATGAGTTTTAACACAATTTCCTAAATTACTTGTCTTATTTAAGTTTAATCAGATGCTTCATCCTTTTTAAAAATGTAAATATACTGTGATATAAGTGGTTCATTTATCACTCACTTTTCCAATGCTCTCTCCATTTTCATCTCTGACTTCCAATTATCTCTGAAACATTGTTAGAATCTCAAAGCCATGCAAAATGAACAACATTAGGGCAAAGTTACTACTTTCTTCCTATAATGTGAAGCTCAATATACAGGGGACAATAAATCCTAAAACAATTTAGAAACTTCATATTTAAACTGCACTAAATGATCATGTGCGCTAGTATTATTTGACATCAAATTTATCTATTTATTCAAGAAATCAATATCAATATAAGTTAGAAAATGTTACATATATTACTAATAGTTCACAGGCAGGAGTATTAAGCAAAATATCTTAATCATATTTTCTAAAAGCATATCAAGACAATGAGAAATATGATTGGATTTAAAATTTTATTATCAAGTTCTTCTAAAAGACAATATTGTTTAGATACTGATGATTGTTGAAAACCCAAAGATCACTATTCTGGAAAAATTATATCTGTGTACCAAAGTATAAGTAACACATAGGTATCCCCATGTTTCAAAGCAATTGGATGCCATATTACTCTTTCTCCTTTCTGTTGCGCTTTTGTTGTGTGCTCTGAATTTTATAACCTGTTGTATTTCCTCTTCTTGAATGTTTTCATGTTTTCTCTTTGATGTATATTATTCTTATTAATCTATTTCCTAACTATGACTGCAATTTTGTTGTCTTCCTTGTGTATTTCCTTTCAAATACTTTTATGTTTGGTGATGCTGAAACAACATTCCCCAAAGAGGTTCAATTACATTAAAAACAAAGTTGACATAAATAAGAAATATATGACTTCAAGTTATAAACATATTTTCAAAGCACATTTTCAACCATAGAAATTTCGGCATCACAGACAAAATATACACAATTTGTTGTTTGATGTTTTTTCTAACACCCATATTTTTCCCACTGTTACAGCACGCTCTGTCAAGTGTATTTGTGTGATCAAAGCCCTGACCTTGTTGTTTTGCCATAATCCCAACAAGAAAGTAAATAAAATTAAAAAAATAGCTAGTATACAGTAGCAAGTTAGGAAGAATACAGTATACTGCACATATTGTGCAACACAACAAAACATTTAGCTAGGATAGACAGTTTTCATGAATTGAATATCTAAACAACAATGTCAGAGTAAAATACTAAGAGAATTGCAATATATATATTTATTATTTACTCACTCAGTTTTGCTACCTTATTCTGGTTTCCATTCAATGTACTAACAAATCTGTATAAACTCTTTTTTACTTATTTAAATTTTCATGTAATTATAACTTTTCCACTAAAAATATTCAGACTTATTTTCACATTAAAACATTCAGATTCATAAATATAGGCATATAAGCCATTGCTTCCACAGTTAATCAGAGATTCACATAGCAATCATTCACACATGTGGCAACCAGGACGAGAATGGCCCCTATCCACCGTAGGAACACCAGGCGTTACCATCCACACATCACCAAGATGCCAGCACATGGGAGATGGGAGGAGCAGCAAGCACACTGGACATGGCCCTTTCTACCCATGCTGCCCATCCTTTCTCTTTCCCCTGCATGATCACACACCGTTTGGTTCATTTCTGCCTTCAATGTCCTTTGGTGGTTTTTCATTATCCGATGTCTGTGGACTTGCAATTGTCATTGAGAAAATTGCAGATTAACTTGAACAACAATATTACTATTACTATATAGATACACTTGCATATTTTGAAAATATTATGACCATACGTAATAATTTGATTTTCTTATTATTTGAACTATGAAATAAATTCCAATTTCAAATTCATTTTAAAAATTCTTATATTGATAATTTCTGCTATAATATACTCTCAGTGATTGCAAGTCTACATAAAATCAGCTTTAAGCGATGAAGGATGTAACATCGGTCACTCCTCAGATGGCCCATGGGACGCATCCTGATCCAGTGCACTCATGCTATCTGTGAGGCGATTGTTTTATTCTCATTCTCATCCCATACTTGAAGATCTAAACACCAATAAATTTCAAATCAATAATTTTTCATTGGAATTTACACTTTGTTTAAAAATCCTTGTAAAACCAATAAATTAGTGAAAAATTTAAACAAATAGAAATGTTTCATTATACCTTGAAGGACATAAAATATAATGTGTTATGCATTAATTTACATAAAAGTAAATGAACTTAAAGAAAAACATAATTGATGATTAGATCTTCTGGTCTATCTTTCTCAGTTTTCTTCTTCTCTGTGTGTGTTTTACTTGTGTGTGGTCTGTATTCTCTGTTCCCTGCGTGTGTGTCTCTGTTCTTTTCGTTGACTGTCAGCGTGTTCTGTGCGTCTGTGCATGCCGCCATGCTGCCATGCGGCCTCGCGCGCCTCGCTGGCCTTTGCAAGCCATGAAAGGGTTTGGTGGGGCAAAGCAGCGACTTTTGGACAAGCTGACATCTGGCAAAACCGCCAGGCGGTTTCTACCAAGACTCATGGCAACTAGTACGTTTGTCTCTCAATATCCACATATAACACATTACCAAAGGAGCAATGGCGTAACTGCATATTAAATACAAATTTAGTCAATAAATACCCATACTATATAATAAAAATTATTATTCTAATTGTAAAGCATCATAGATTGATTGACTCAATACAGAATGCGATGAGTTCACTTACAAGAAAGTTAGTCTCGTGAGTCACATTTGCTTTTTCAATAACTTATGAACAAAATCTGAAATATTTTATTGCAACTTACTTCCATATAAGAGCATGTGTTTCAGAGATGGTTCTCTATCAGACTGAAATTAGTCTTTGGGATTCAGGATGTCCATTGTTACGCCACTGCCAAGAAGGATTGACATTCAGAGACAATGATTTCTTTAGTTTTTGGATATGTTTCTACATGATAGGAAAGGAAATTGGGATGTCACCTATGGGGTAAAGTGAGAGAATAATAGACAAATCAAACATATAGAAGAAGTTTTATTTTTTCCCCCGCAACAAATTTTGGGTTGTCAGATATATTGCAATATTTATGTTGACTTGGTACTACACATTTTCAATCAAAATGGAATTATTTGTCTTTAAAAAAAATAATAAAGAAAACTATAGGTGACAGCCTACTCTCTTCTTCACTACAATAGGTCTTTCTCACGTTTTGACAGGGGTAGTCAAGGCAATATAATACTTCACTTAGGTAATGTGTTGATTGTTTCTGACAATAGCAGACAAGACCTCGCTTGGGGATGAGTGAGGTGCTAGTCTTTTTCTTGCTGGCTATCTTTGCTTTCCAGCAGTTACTCCTTAACACTGCCAAAGCCCTTAGGGTGGAGCATTTGATCCAATATTTTAAGATAGCCTTGGCCAAACCTGTGTTTTCCCTAGAGCTCTTACATCATTGCAAGAAAATCTTTCTCCTAGTAAAAAGAGAAAGCAATTTTCTTTTGTAAGGATGAACCTATAAAAACCTGCTCATGAGAAAATTTGCAATAGTGCTGATTTATTTTTCAAAGAATAGTGTTTTTCAGGTTAGTGTAGTACCTACCGTCCAACATCTTTTAAAAAATGTTTATTAAACTCAAATTCATTTCATTGTATTACAACTTTCTTCATGTCACAAGTATTTTTGTCAGCAATAAATAAATTGTGCTATAGCAATATTATCTAATGAGCAGAAAATCTAGCAGTATTAATAGCAGCGGGTGGACTATAGCTTATGCACTGCACGCTGTCACAAAGCTTGTGATCTGTGTGTAGTCATGTTGCCTCATTCTGGCCATTCACTGCACACTGCCTATAAATTTCATGTTGTATAATTACATCAAATACCCATCTACTACTGTACCATGAGTGTATCCATTAAGTGAATAATATATTTTAGAAAATTTTCCTTCCTACTTAAGCAAGGTATAAAGGATATTATTAAGGTAAAATGAACTCTAATAGAAAATTATCATTATTGTAAATGCTGAGCTGTGGTTTATTGATACTGAAGATGAGCTGCAGAGCACTCTTTCAATGGTGGGTATAAAAATAATACTCTTAACTTATAATGATAATTTTAAAAGTACTAGAATATTTAAAAAAGAAAACAAAGTAATTCAAAATAGTTCTACATAAAATAATTATATTTAACTGAAAAACTACTGAATATTACGGAAATGCAGCTCCTTTCTTTCTTAGGATTTTATAGATTCAAACAGAAGCACAAATCATGCCAAAAACAATGTTAATAGTGTTAATTACCTTCTTTACAGATATGAACAAATGTCACTTCAATTCCATTCTTGTTTTCTTTATTGCATAAACTTTATTTATTGGATTTCATCTGTATAATAGCTAATGAAGCGTAAACACCCAATATTTATATCCAACAAGGCAAAGAGTTAGTGTCTGTATACTTTTCATTCTTCCATTATTAAGATTAGCTGTAATGATTATTTTAGCAATAAAAATTAATTCTTTAATGTATATAATATGGCATGAATTGTTTTAGAATCCTGCTTCCAATATCACCTGTTATTTGCACAAAAATTAGATGCTTAACTCCAGTTTTTGCTTAGAAAGACTTTATAGTGTATCAGTAGGTAATTCAGAATAGAATATGCTGCTTAATAGGTATGTCACTAGATGTTAAAATATTAGAAAAGTAGGATCGTTAGATGTGCATAGGAAAATAGAATCACTCGGAGGGAGGGGTGAGGTCTTCTGGAAAAAGGTGATACAGTGTTGTTTGATAAGTGTTCTGAGGGCATGCAAAGCCTAATAATTTCAAAATTTTGCAATTTTTGTTTTTATTTTTGTTGTTACCTCAGAGTGATTCAAAGCTGCCCCCTAGTGTGTAGTGTTGTCAGTGTGTCATTATGTTCATATTTTTAGTGTACATTAGTATTGCTATATGTTGGTGTTATTGCATGAACTGCTAACATTGTAGAAGTGTATTCCATCACCTTGTACCACCCTTAGCCCCATGACCACTTGTTAGACACTGAGTAGAAATCAGGGCGTGTCTGCTGTATCAGAGTGTTTTATATGTGTATGATATTGATATTTTGTACAGTGTTCATGTGCGTTGTGAATGTTGATGGAAAAACTCATCCCTTGTGTGGCTGTTGTGATATTTTATCTTGCTACAGCTGTTTTTTCTTTTAAAGTTTCTATTTTTGGATTGTTTTCAACATTGAATTTTCTGAAGTAAGTATTTTTGTAACAACACATTCCCCAACACGCAAGCAGCTTTCATTTCATAAAAGAATTCTGTACAAAACATCAAACTCATAAAATCTGGAATGAAATACAAAACATTAATATGTAGGTCCACTTACAAGTAATAGTTCAATAATACTACCTAGGAGTAGTTGTAGAAAATAATGGGCAGTGTTCTGGAGATTTACAAACATTGAAGGTATAAAACATTGCTATTCCATTTTCACAAAAATGAAGAGAGTTGGTACATAAGAAGATCCACCGACTTTTGGAAATTCAAAACAACTTTTAACAAGTCACCTTGAGAGGTTTAATAAATAAATAAATAAATAAAGATAATTAAAAGCAAACATTATTATTTCATTCCATGGAAAAAAATATTCACAATATTTAGAATATTTTTGTATTAGGAGAGGTTATTATTGGTAACACTGTTTCCTATATTCTTTATCTGCCAAAAAATATGTTGAAATGAAATAATAAATAAAAATGTATATGTTTTATTATTTAGTGTTGAAGACTTTTTTATTAAGTAACTATTTGATCTGTTAGTGCCCGAAATGGTCTAATGTACGCTGGTATAATGTAATTTTTAAGATATGGTTGTTCATAGCAGGAATTTTATTTATTATTGATTCTAGTATTTAGCTCTGTTAACTACATTCACTATTGCCAAGAATGAACAAGAAAAGACCATTAATAAGTTCATAATCATTCAAAATCCAATAAAGAAATAAAAAATGACATTAAACATCGATGCAGATTTTCCAAAGCAGTGTTGGTTCAGCTTTTAACATAGCTAAGTCATTGTACTTCTACCTTGACTAGAATGGTCTTCTGCATAGTTCATTTTTTGAATAGGATTGGGCAGTTGTGTAACACTATTAAAAATATTTGCAATACATATAATTCATAACTTAAAAGTACTTTCAAACTGTACATATCTTGAAGAACTTTCGAATGTTTCTGAAATGTCTAATCAAACAAGAGACATTGATTATTTGCATGGTTCTTTAATAACTTTAATTACAAAACTCATTATTACACCCAGGCATATTTTGCTTATCCAATGGTTTAAATCTTGTTCATAATCTTACTGCTTATGGTCAGCTAAACTATTAAGTAATAATCCAATTCTATAAGCATTGGGTTAATTTGTGTCATGATTAATATCTCCAGATATACTAGCATCCCATGATTCACATTTCGAGCTTTTATTGCTCCCTTGTTGCCTGATGTAGAATGTGTGTTGCAGATGAGGCGCTTGCCAAACGAGGACTTGGTGACCTCACATTGCAAGAACTTGAGGACATTCTGGAGGAGGAAGATGAGAGCCTCGACCAATCAGGCGAGGGGCCAGGTAATGCGCACTACCCCTTCCAATTCCTGGCCACAAATACAAGTATTCTGAGTGCACTTATGAACAAAATTAAGCACAAAATATATCTTGAAAATAAAATGTCTAGTGAAAAGAATTGATAAGTCCAAAGTCTTCGGGGATATTGCTGCATATCTTAATCTTCATTGCATATTTGTCATGAAATTGACAAACTATGTTAATAGAATCCACCTACTTTTTTGATTTGTATGAGAAAATGTAAGACAATTTTCTAAATTAATAAGAAAATTATAATTATTTATGATAAGAATTTCAATTTATTTTACCATAATAGAAGATGGGTGCTTGGAGATGTCAATATAAGCATTATGAAATGACAGTTATTCTTTCATTAAATAATTTTCAAATGGACTCATTCTCTCATTGAATTTCAGAAGGATGCATTCTTACTAAAATGTCAAATGCTTTAATAACTTGCATCATAATTTAGTGTGATCATACATGTGTATTTATGATCATTCTCATCATTATGTATATTGTAAATATTTTGGAACGTGCAGTAAAATTGTCGTTCTGAAAATAAAAATTATTGAATTAATAGGGTAGGGATTTTTCAATAATTTTTCATTAAAATTGTGAACAATTTAAATTCCCTTGGACATTGCAGTTTTGCTGCTTTATATCATTCATTGAAACTCTTTGTTTCACTCTATATTCTCTCAGGCATTACTACATTTAACTTGCAATTTCAAAATAAAAATTAAAATGTAAATGAACAATCATGCACATTCATCCTTTCTAAAACTGCATTATTTTATTGTTGTATTCCAAAACTATTAATTAACAAATTTTCTTTTAAAAATCTTTGAAAGTGTATATATCTCATCTCAGAGAAAGTAAAATAATAGTAAATTTTTCAATTTTTTGGATTAAATTTGATTTTATGAGTTGAATATTCTTGATAAAAGAAAACATATTTTAAATGAGATGTGTTCTAGTGCACTTGCCAAACAGCCTATGTGTGGTAGGCTGTGCAGTTAAACTTGACTATAAACCTCCACACAATAGTGTTTTCTGTGTATGTACAATATGCCTCTTGATTATTTTTGTTATCGAAATAAAAGGTTTCATTTAAAGCATTTTATACATTATAAAACTAAAAGTTCATGCAGTACATTTTTTAAATCTTCCTAGACCTTCCCAATTATTTATATTTTCTTTTAATTTTAAAGCAAATATATTTTTGCATAATACATCTGAAATTAAACAGGCAGATTTTTCCAATGTACTGCTATTCTTATTAAAATGGTTTTGTGTATTGGCTTGTGAAAATAATATTATATTCAATCCATTTGTTGCTTGTCTTTGACATTCAGGTTGTGTGTATCATGTGTTGGTTTTGATACCTGCCTCTTCTTTCAAGAGAAGCTTTCCCGTGCAGAAACTGAGCTTGCTATCTGTACTTTGGTGAATGTCAGTCTGGAGAGTAAGACTCACACACTCATATTTGTCTTCAGAAATAAAATCATCACAAACAACTACTCGCAGGATTTTATTGTTCTTTGGCACTTATAAAAAGAAGAAATCTTTAGTGAAAGTATTACCTATTAATTCTAAAGCTATACTTCCAGTAATAATTGTAATGCTGAATTTGCATTTTTTATGTTAGGTATTTAAACACAATCTTCAATCTTGTAAACTGTAGTTAACATGTAAGTATAGTGCAATAAATCTAGTAATGGGTTAATATTTGTGATAACAGACCTTCAGGACAAGGATCTGAAAAAGCACTTAAGTCTTGTTAGTAATATTGCTCTCATCAGACTGATATAACACCTTTATTTCCTTTTTGTGGATCAGAGGCGGAAATGCAATAAAAGTATTTTTTGTTGTTAATGTACATGTTACATACAGGGCAGCTCATGCAGTTCAACCATGTTTATCTTCAAAATAAGTAGTTTTTATTAGTGACCAGTTTGAGATTGTTTGAATGAATAATAGTAGCTAGACAATCATGCTAAAGAAAATTAAATTTTTAATGAAAATTGAAAACGTAACGTCAAATTTTTACCACAAAAATCTCCTTCCAAACTCGATAACTGTCTAAAATTTTAAGAGTTAGATCAAGTTTCACACCTTTACCTTTCAATAGATCACAATAACTGTCACTAATGAAGTACAAATGTAGAGCAAAATAAATAGCAACCTAGTGTGTCAGCTGTCTTTAACTCATCCAAGATGATGATAATAAATACAATTTTCTTTCAGATATTTCCTCAAATATTCAATATTAAGATTCTTTAATCATTTATGGATACATTTTATGAATGTATATTTAAGTGTCAAATACATAGGAAATAATTTATATATATAATTCATATTATATATATAATTTAAATATAATACATAAATAATTTTTTTTTACTGATTTTTCAATAAACAAAGACTGAGGAAACAAAAACTAAAATAACACAATTTAACTGAATTATGTTGAAAGCTATTCCTTTCACACTGAGCATCAGCCCTGTGTGTAATGTTGTGGCTAAGTTCCTGTTCAGCACCACTAATACCACAAGGATCAGTAACGAAGGTCAGGACCCACCAACTTACAATGAAAGGGGAGGGGAATGTATGATTTCAGTCACTTAAAATACTTTCATATTATATATTTCCAGAAGAATTTTTTATTCTCCTTTTAACCCCAACTACAATAAGTTGGTACTTCATTGCTTGAGGCATTCACATCATATTTCATGAGGAAATGTCAAATTTTCTACCTCTTTTTGTACCTAAAATAATCTTCACAATTAACTGAAGGTCCAGATTGTGTAAGCTTGAAGAGTTTAATACTGATCTATTTAATGTTTATCATGTTATTGATTTATAAATCCATTTAGATATATTACAGTTTATTACAGTGTATAACATTTGCAATAATTATAGCTAAACAAAACAATTTTGTTGTTGTTGTTTTTATTTTTGTTTAGGAAAATTTTTTGACATAGAAAAATGGAAATTTCTTGTAAATGATTCGCATTAATTACTTATTTTATCATACTTTTAATTGAAAAACATTAATTTTCTGGATTGTAATCATTTTAGGTGAAGATTTACATAAAAAATAGTTTCAATTTATAATTGATTCTGAGGTGAAGTACTCTTATCTCCTTTCATCTATTGTTGGGATTTCATGCCTTTAAATCCATACTGTGGTATTGAGTGATGGTGTTCAGTGGCTGATATGTACCCTGCTCGTCCACCTCATGTTTGGTTGTGTTCCATAGGGCCATGCAGCACACGAGTAGACCACCTCTCCTTCACCACCACACTTGCATCACACAATGCGTGTGTGCTCACGTGCGTGCTAGCGTGCAATCACTTGTCTTGCATTGAGATAAGTTCATCAATGCAGTCACACAGACCTGCTCTGTACTATAAATATCTAACAGTTTCAAGTTTATAACAACTGTGTTTGTTCCACAACTAGTTATAGCAATGAAGGAGTATTGCATTACTGGCAGCTGTACAAATGATTTATGTAGTTCTTTTAGCTTAAAGCATTTATTTCTTTCAGTTATGCTTTACATTTTTGTGGCAGAATGCCAGCAGCATAACACACTTTTTGAGTGACATTAAAAAACAGACAAAACTACTATATCATGCCTTGCTGAAGGTACAATTTGGTTAACATGAAATTGTGTTAAAATAATGAAAATTTCCAGATGTGAAGACATATATATGGTATGGACGACTGTAGTATTAACAAAAAATTATTGTTTCATGATTACATCAAGAAATAATATTCTCTGAATGCTTATTTTTGCCACAAAAGTGATTATTTTGAGAAAGCAATAATTGTTTTGCTAAAAAACTATTATTTTAGCAACTTTTCAAATGCTGCTAGCCTCAGCACTTATCTCCATTGTTGCTAAGCGGTGCAGATATTCCTTTACATTACTTGTGTGCATTGTTTTATCTAGTATGAGTCTTGTCAATTGTTTAAAGGCTTGCTGGGTTCACTTACCATGAAAATATTTTATTTTTATTTTTATTTTTCTCACAAATACTAAATATGAATGCACATTTGATTTTTGCACTTTATGAGAATGTTTAATTGCATGGTGTGTGATGAAAAGTAAAAATATATTTTTACTTTTATTTCTATACTTAAAATATTCATTATTTCATAGTCTTGTAGTTACTCAGACATTTCAGGACGTCTTCCAAAAAATGCCTATTTCTGTGAATCGTTAATTCTTTCTTCCTTCACATTAAAATACTTTTTTACAGGAAACAAAAATACCTTTCATATTTTAATTTTCCGAATTATCAGCACAAGCAGCATGCCAATATTGCATTAATAATGAGACATAATATTATCTGTCTTTTAAAATAGTCATGGAGACTTTATACAGTTACTACTATGTTACTACCATGGCACTCCTTACTGTCCAATTTGACAACTTACAATTATACCATTTTTCTATTAAATACTCTGCCGAACAACATAAACATGTACAAAAACACTATGAAAGAATTTTTCAAAGGCATCAACGTATTGAATCTTGTGAAACCAGCAAGCCTGTAGCGTAGCTCAGCGTAGTCGAGTGCAGTGCATGGACACAAAGCTCGTGTCCTGTAGTATTACAGCTGCTGTGACTTGGTCATGTATAAAAGTTACCCAGGCAGTATTTACCTATAAGAAACTAGCACCAAATGATATATCACTTGTGGCATATTAGGAACTAAACATATTCTCTTGCGATGAGTAAAGCATTGAATTACTATTCATCACTCAATCTTAATAAAAATAAAATAGAACAAGACAGAACAAACATAAATATCTTCTAGATTAATCAGTAGTTATCATAAATTGTATTTAGCATTAAATAAGGTAAATGAACTCCTAATGTGTATTAGTTATTGATTTGATTAAATTTATTTTAAGTATTAGATAATAATTTTATTATGTGATAGCTGTTTAACAATGAAACATCTCCCAAGTGCCTTTGAAAACATATAGCAGCAGAGACTTCCATCAGTATAATATTAGATGCCATATTCATGTTAAATTGGAGGCTTGTAGTTATCTGTACAAGTCATCTTCTGAGTTGAAAAGTGCCTTGTCAGAATCGACAGTGGCCACCTGCACAGCAGTAGTGTAGCCAGACTCCTGCTCGCTAGCTAGCACTCTGCAGCGAACATAGAACCGCCTTACTTGATGGGCTCCACCTTTTCTGTTCCTTTATTATTTATCATTTATATCCACTGAAATCTGTATTGAGGCATTTAACTCTCAATGTGTCAATTGTGTTTGTTTTGTGAAAATCGCTCCTCTTCCCTCCAGGATGTATTGTATTTAGTGTCTGTAAACTTAATATTTGATTTAATATGTACGTTTTGCAACCTTTTATCCCTACCCACTACCTGAGCCCTAGTTGATTTGCAGTAGGCAGTAAAGTAAGTTGACCAATTGGATTGGTTTAACATGTGTTCTCTGCTACATTGAATTAATTGTCTGCCAGCCTGTTTTGCTGTGTGTATGGTGTATTGTATGTAAGGCATTCTGCAGCTGTGACATTTAAATGTTACTTTATCCTGTAGTTCATTGAAACCATGTACGACAGGATTTCTAAGAATATTAGAAAATCATCGCAGCATGCACGATGCCTGATGCATGCCTATGTGTGTTTATGTTTAAATGTGTGTGCGTATGAGCTGTTTTGCAGCTGAGGCTGATTATTAGAAATAGATTTATCTGTTATCACCATGATTTAACTTCATTTATATATACATGTACTCAACAGATCATCACACTTTAATACAAATACATTCAATCCAAAATAAGCAGAGATGCAGTAAAACATGCTTCCAGTTAGAGTGAAGTCTAAAATATAGAGAAATCAGTTAAAATCATTTCTCTCTCATTTTGAAATAAATCTTCAAAAATTTGTAGAAGGAAATAAAGTTAATTGTAGTACCTATTGTGAGGTAATTGAAAATGAAATGCAATTGACCTCAAATGACAATGATGATGTTATTACTAGTCTTTCAGATTCAGATTGATATGTTTGGGCATCCTGTGCAAAACTAAACTAATGGGACCCCTTTAATCTTGAAAATACAGAAAAAAAAGTATGGACATTTTTTATGAAAAGAAAATATTTTGTTTTCAAATCAAAATTTAATTTAAAAATATTTACAAACCAATATAAAATTGTGTTTAATATTAAGCAAGCCCTCAGGATCCTTAAGCGCATTTTTAGTCTGCTTACACATTAATCCAAACTTGCTACCAAAATGTTTTTGTTCCATCATTCATTCGTCTCAGCTTAAGTTGGACTCAAGACCTGCCGCCAACAAGCACCAACAGACCCACCTCCACGTACACTGACACCAACACGCTAGTTTTTGCTCAGAGCCAGCAGCGGCTGCAGCTGAGGAGGAGTTGGCGTGGGACGGAAGCTGTACTATCGCGCGCTTTCCCCTCCCTCTGCTTGGTTTCAAACGACAGACCTGTTCTTCTCGGTGCTAGTCCCGCCGCCCAAGCAGCTCACCCTCGAGCGGCAGCTGCACAAGAGCGTGCTCATCAGCTGGTCGCACCCTGACGGCTGCCCGCCCGCCGCCGTGGACAGCTACCACGTGTACGTGGACGGCGTGCTCAAGACTACCGTCAAGGCCACGGAGCGCCCGCGCGCCCTCGTCGAGGGCGTCGATTCCACTAGGGTGAGTCTCTTCGTCCCCCCCCTTCCCTTCCGACCACCGTCGCTCCCACTCCACACGCTTCGCCCCGCACCTCTCCGCCTTCCTCCATCACATTTTGCACCACCCCAAATCAAAATCCAAAGAAAAGATCGATATATGCACAATAAAACTTGTTTAATTTTATATTTTTTAATGCATAATGTTAAAAAACTGTGTATTAAAATGTATTTTTTGAAATGATATATATTAAGAGATACTAGTATTACTTAATTTTTGTAATAATGTGTGTGCTTTTACATTTTTCTTGAATGTTTGAAATATAATTGTATTTAATAAAACATTTTAATTAATATCTTTTGCTGGATTTTGAAATATTAATGCGTGTCTAATTATACTTTTCTTGAACAACAGCCACATCGCATCAGTGTTCGCTCAATTACTCCAAATCGAAGAACGTCTCGTGATGCTGCATGCACCATGTTAGTGGGAAAGGATGTCCCACAAGCTCCATCAAATGTAAAAGCAGGAAATGTCACCAGTACATCAGCTGTTATAAGCTGGCTGCCTGCCAACTCAAATCATCAACATGTTGTTTGTGTCAACAATGTGGAAGTGCGCACTGTCAAACCTGGTGTATATAGACATACAATAACAGGTGAATAAATAAGAATATCTAAAAGAAATTAATGATTTTCCATTCACTGAATTTTATCACTTTGTGTTTTCAAACTTGTTTATTTTAAAATGCAACGTTATAAATAAATAATTTGTTTTTATAAAAATATCGCATCAATAGACACTTACAAAAACAATTTCAAAAAACAAATGATTTCAGAACTTTTCAAATACAATATTTACAAAACAAAATAAATATTGAAATGAAATAATAATAATAATAATATAATATATTATTATTATTATTATTATTGTTGTTGTTGTTGTTGTTGTTGTTGTTGTTGTTATTATTATTGTTATTATTATTACTACTATTATTATAAATATATTATAAAATTTAAAATAAAATAAAATTAATAGTAATTTTTTCAAATATAAATAAAGACAGTTCTCAGAATTTATAAAAATTGAGCCAAATTCTTTTTGAGCTTCCAAGCCTTTTATGACTGCAGGAAACAATAATTTGATGAATCTGTTAACAGGTTTTAAAAGTAAGAAAAAAACATAAAAAGGGGTAATTATTTCAATTTTATATTGTTTTTAAATTACATTTTTTTAAATTTGTTTGTATTGTTAAAAAAATTGGAAATTATCTATACTTTGGACTTTGTTAAAATTTATTTTTTTAAATTTTAGTAAACTAAGCCCATAATTTAATTTCATGATTTTTAAATTTAACATTCTTAATTCAAATATGATATTTATTTGTTGTAATTTTGTATTTAGTCAATTGTTTTGAATATTATATAAAAAGGAGTTTTAAAATATATTTTTAATAGAATATGTTATTTAATGAAGTTGTTCCTAACTAGATGTAATACTATACTTCCATAAATATTACACACTGGGCACTTTTCTATTAATATTTCCAAGTGTACTTCATAGTAAAATTCTTCAAACTTCAATTCAGAAGCATGGAATAAGTATTATAATGAAATGATGCATCCCACATCTTATTTGAGAGAGTGGATGAAAGTTGCTCAATGGTGTAAATTAATAATGTGCTATGATATGCAAACAAACTAAATATATTTTTAATACATTGTAACACATCTTATTTGTGTACATAGGATTGGCCCCAAACACTGTGTACAGAGTAACAGTACGAGCAAAAAATATTCGGCAACAAACACAAAGTTTTGATGAGAAGACATCTACTCTTCAAATGGAGCGCTGCTCAGCACATATAGACTTTCGAACTCTACCAAAGGGTGAGTACAGAGAATTTCTTTATTTCAAATTGGAAGACATTGGTAGCATTTACATTTCATCACTACCTACCCTAATTAACTTTAAAAAGGGTGAAGAATTTCCAATAAATTTCTTGATTAATTTATTTAAGCAAAAGACATGTTTATTTAAGAAACATTTTGGTTTGGAATTGAAATGAGTTATTATAAATTGTAATAGACTTATGACATCAAAAACGATTTTCTGAGTTATTGGGAATTCTTTATGAAGTAATAAAAAGTCATTATAATTTCACCTTGCTAATTGATGGAATAAAATTTGAAAATTCTGATAATATGTAAGAACTGTTGTATGTTAAGCATGTAATTCAGAGGTTATATTTGTTTAAGAGAAAAATTGTGACCATGAATTATGGATTCATGGGAACACATATTTCTCGTCAGTATTAATGAAAGAAGATAAAGACACACTTACCCATTTATCAATATTTGATTATACTTATTATCATTAGGAATACTGAATTGCATTTTGATTCCCTTTGATTAATATAATTTTAATGTTCCCTTAAAGTAATTGATTTTAAGCCAGCCATTTTAATCCTCATGTACACATTTTCACAGTTATGGCAGACTATTAGTGGTACCAGAGACAATACCATAAATCTGTTGTTTGTATTATGTTTGTGGCACTGCAAAGCAATTGGAATAACTTGAAATGTACAGTAATGTATATAGTTGGTATTTATTTGTAAACTTGATACTTTGCAGTAGTACAAACATTGCCTTACACCAATACAGCACTTTTAATTTTCAGTTTAACTACCCAAGAAAGGCAATACTTTGGGTGACTGGTCAGCTATCCTGTAGCACTGAATAGTTCCACATAGCAGAAATGAGTAGTTTTGTTCCCCCATCTCCAAATGCAGATGACACAATATTTTAGTTATGCATAGTGGCATTTTTGTTTGTTTAATATCTAGTTTAGTTGAATGTGTAGTTGGTTGGGAACAAGCAGAATTGTTTCCCTAGTGGCAAAACTTGAATTGCCATTGTGTTTCAACAAGATTAAATGCAACACAAAATGCCTTAAAGGTTGTTCTAAAAATTTTGAATCAGACTTGTGAACACTATTCAGTGCTTTGGGACAGCATTTGTTCACTACACAATTATACTTGTTCTCTTGCTACATGTTGGTAGAAAAATTGCATGTGTACTAATGATGGTGAAAACTGATGAATAAGACAGTGAGTTGGACAATAGTCTCTTAAAAACTTGAAGAGGGAACATTCCTTGGCTCTGTAACCTTCCTTCATATCCCTCAGCGGCCACTAGACCCCTCTGTAGCTTTCTGGGCACAGGAAGGGGAGGTGATCTTCAGAGGTTATTGTAGTATATTATTATTAGAAAATTTTCAGTAAATTTTACAATATGCCATTAACAAATTAACCTACAGTTTCTGAAAAGATGAACTTCTCAGTGCTAATAAGGAAAACTCAGATAATTACACAATTCTCCTTTCTTATGGTCAGTTTGTTTCCAGAGACTTTACTTAATTATGAGAGATATGTTAGTAAACTGCAAGGAATTTCCACTGGATCAAGACGCTGTTTGAATTAGAGCAAACTACTTTCAGCCAGCAGCCTGATAAACAAAATGGGCCTCTCCACTCCTCTCCTTGTGCCCTTGCACTAAATGTGTGTCAGCTTTGTGCAGCCCTGCCCTGGGCTGGGTCCATGTCATGTGTTTCTTATTATTCTTATTATTATCGCCTTTCAGTTGACTGATTCTTACTCTTTCTGTTTTTGCATTTGTCTGCTTGCATGGATTTATAAAGGCTGCAAAGGTGATTTTTGACTAAATCTCTTTTTTAACTTGTGTGATTGTTGTCAATGTTGTGATTGTTATTTACTTTTGTGTTACTCTATTTCTTGATTAATTAAAGTATTTAGGTGTCTGTGGCAAGCAATTTAGATATAATCCTCAACAGTGGTTTTGGATGGTGGGTAAATAATAATTATCTCAGTTATTCTTTTAGTTTTATGTCACTTTTGGGTATATTTATAAAACTGCTAGGAAATAATTTTTTTACAGATATACCTTTACAATATTAATTCTTGGGTAATGGTAATGTATTTTAGGATAATACATAGCTTTAATAAGAATTGTGGTCTGAAAGATGTGTGACCTTCTCATCTGCCACTGTCATGAGGAAACATAGATGAGAGATGGGGCCCAGTTGTTGTGCTTTGTAAATAAAATTCAAGAAACATTTTGTTTCTTTAGCTTTCTTTCATAAAAAAGTATGAATTGACTGGCTGGAAATCACTATCTGGCCATCTGTACCAAAATGTCTTGCTGAAGAGGTGTTGATCGAAGAAAAACACACTTGTACCTTCCATTCCAAGCCTGATATTTATTGCTGTTACTGCTCTATATTCTATTCTGTGCCATTACTGTTCCTAATGCTATGACCATTGCTACTAGAATTAATTACAAAATTTGGAACATCTCTCAATCCAACTCTGTCTCTATCTTCTTTCTAGCCTACTTTTCTCTTCTTTCATATGTCAAAGCATGTACTAGTAAAATAATTTGAATTTAATATGAAAATAATATTATTTTACAGAAATTAAAATATTTGAGTGACCTTCTTTGTATATAGTGTTACAAACCTTGCTTGACCTAACTTTTCTTCTGTTTATTGTTCCTTGGCCATGTTTCTTCATTTCAGCCTGTTTCACCTCAAAATTTCCAATATTATTTGTCTTTCTGTCTCTGGAATCCTCAGTATCCTTCAGTCAGTTACCTTTTAAATTCCAGCCAGTCATCTTGTGACCTGGGTCCCGTCCTCTCTGTGCATGACCATTTGAAACAGATGTAGAAAATTAGAATTTATTGCGGTAGCCAGTACATTTTGAGAGTAGATAGTTGTGCTGGGACATAGAGTAGGTAGAGAAGCTTAGACATAGCAGTGTAGAGAAAGCAGTGCCAAAGTAATTAGTTCAGGTAGATAGACGTTGATGTTGTGATCTAATGGATGTAACTGCTTAGACTATGCTAGTTTTGGCTATGGATCTGCTGATGTATTCTCTAACTACTCTTTAACAAAACTCAAACTACTTTCCTGCAATAACAGTATCTTTCTTGTATAATTAATAAACCATCTCTCTTCTCTCGGAATGCCCGTAAATAAGCTTGCATCAATATCTTCACAGTACTCTCTTTTTACTCTAACCAAAAATGCAATTATTTTCACATACACAGCAATCATGGTTTGTAAACATTTATTTGTACATCAAATTAACTAAGAGATGGGCATATTTATAATTGTTTCTAATACCACCTATCATGGATATCTGAACGATGTGGTGAGAAAACTATAACAATTAAATTGTAACTTTACTTTCAATAATTTTAAAAAATAGTGTAAAATTTCCTTCTTTTTTTTAATTTATTTTTATGTAAAAGCTAAACATTATGATTTCCATTGATTATAGTGGCCAAAAAAATGTGTAGTTGCCCTGAACTGAAAAGTTCATTTATCAGGAAAAGCATTCTCTCTCAGTAGATCTCTATATCTCACATTGTATTTCTGGTTTTTAAGTAGTGATGAAATGAAGTGATTTTAACTTCGGCAAGTGGATATTTTAAAGCCAAACTTTTTTAGTATTGTACAATAATTTGCAGTAACTTATTTGCATTTTTATAAAATTGGCTGTTTTTATGAGTTTTGACACATCATTGAAGAGGCTCCATGTGATAGGTGGTGTTGCTAGAACCAGGTCAATACATCAACAGAATCTGTAGCCACCTGGAGCCCTAACTGAATAGGGAGGTGCTAGAGACTTTAGAAAGCACAATCTTTAGACTTCGTATGGGACAGTAAGTCAAGAAGTGTCACAGCCCGAGCAGCAGTTAGATTTCAAATGTCAACCAGTCAGATAGTGGCTCCTCTTAATTGGCAGTCTCCATTTAGAGTTACTCCCTGAGCCTGTTGTCAATTGTTAGTTAATATGGTTAACTTGCATACTGAGCCTAAAGAAGTAGAGAATCCAGTCCCAGTATTACCACTTCTTTGGAAGCTCTAAATGAAGATTGAGGTACAATTGTTCTAATTATTTAATAATTTGAAAAGGGATTGTCCTCTGAATGAAAAAGGAGGGTTATACAGAATAATCTAAGTGATTGTACAATAATTTTAAGTCTTAATTATTTGTTGGCTCAGAATTTTATTATTTTGTAACATGCTGAAACTTCATTATGACTTTTAGAATGTGCAGCTAAGTACAGAAAGTTCATGTTAATGAATTTTCTTGTTTTGTAATTTAAATTACATTACTATATTTTTCTTTTTACATAAAACTTGCAATTAAATATTTATCATTCACTTTTTTAAAGAATCAAATTAATTCATTTAAATAAAGGACTATATTTTTATAATCACATTGGCTGATGCAATTTCTAAGAAAAGTCTTCTTGATTTAGCAGTAGACAGGATAAGTGAATGAGGAATGCTGTGAAAACAAGTAATTAGGTACGTGTATTGAAGTTGAAATTAAAGCAGAATTGGAATAGAAATGAGGAGAGAAAAATCTTTGAATTTTGATTAAGAAATAATGTATTAATGCCTGAATTATTTTTGCTTCTATAATTCTTCATTTAGCTTCTAGTTTTACTTCATTTAAAGGACTTGGTTAATAATTATTGTTTTCCATAAAAAATCTTTAATAAACCAATAAATAGGAAGAATTAATATTTAATTTTTATGGAATTGAATGAACAGTGAGCAGAATGCCAATTCTTGCCTGAATTTGCTCAAATATACAAACAGATTCATAGTAATCATACGTTTTTACCATGATTATTGCTCATTAAAAAATTAATATTTCATTTATTTTCTCTTGTATTATGAAGGTTGTAATTGTAATGATTATGATAATTTTGATATTGATTTGATGGATATTGAAGCTTAATTAATAAAATTGTAACAAAAATAATATAGATTATAACTTTATCAATATCATCATTAACTTGCTATTTTGTTGGTTTTCAACAGTTTTTGAGAAGTTTATGTTGTTTTTCTGTGAGAACATTTTCCAAAATAAAATACTGCATTAAAACTGAAGAGACCACGGACTCTATATTAAAACTTCTCATAATATTTATACGGTAATTAAATAGAACGAAATCGCACGAAGAAAGTTGCAAACAATGCAGCCCAACGATTAAGCAAGTCGTAATGAAGTTTCCACATGGTACTACGAGGGAGCTAAACTAGACGGGGCGAGGGGTGTGGGGCGGGGCGGGAGGAGCGGCTAGGCGTTGCGTGGACAATCGGGCGGGTGGCGCGAGCGGGTGGTGGTGTGCCCGCAGGCCTCCCCGACCCGCCGGTGGATATCCAGGTGGAGGCAGGCCCTCAGGACGGCACGCTGCTGGTCACGTGGCTCCCGGTGGCCGGCGGCGGCGGGGTGCACACGAACGGCGCGCCCGTCACGGGCTACGCCGTCTACGCCGACGGCAAGAAGGTCACCGACGTCGACAGCCCCACAGGTGCGTCCCTCACCCGCCCTATCCGCCAGCGGCAGCGGCAGCGACGGCAGCAGCAACAGAGCAGGCGGCTCCATGGCACGGCGTGGGCGGCCCTGCCAACCCTCCGAGCCACGATCACTCTCGGTCTTTCTCGGTTCTGGGCGTCTGGTGATTCTACTGTTACGGTTTCTCCTCAAGTCTTTCAGAAAGAGTTTTCGGTAGTCAACAATGAGAGTGTTTTGCCTCTTTTCTCGCCCCGTGTCTATATAGTTTTACCTCCCTTAAACAGTATTCCCTCCTTCCTATATTTTAATTGGAATTAAAAATAAAGAAATTAGAACAATAACGTTAAAAATGGTTTGTTTTTTCCAAAAAAATATACAGCTGTCTCAAAATAAATGTTACAAACTTCTATGGCTGCAGAGGGATCGACGATTATTACTTTCTGTGCTGGAGCACGTGGGAAATAAATACGTTCTTTTTTTCCCCTGCCCCGTCACACGTACCTCAAGTACACGTTCTGAGACAATCAAAAATATTTAGTATACCCATCAAAAACTATGCTAGATGATATGTCTACCAATCACGGGCCAATTTCGCATTGTAATTCCACTCTTTATATGACCACATAATAATTGGCAAAAAGTTACAATATCTTATCCCTATATGTTCTAGAAGTTTGTAATTACTGAGATATTCTGTATGGTTTGTTAGAGCGAATTCCGCCGACGATTTCATTTTTAGGGCAACAAAAACGTTATTAATTGCAGTAAAAATCATCTTAGGTTCCCTTATTTCTCAATTTCATTTTAAAGTTATAAATAAGTATAATTTAAAAATAATTTAAAATGTATAATATAATGAAACAACCCAACTTATTTTTGTGTATCAAGAATGTGAAAGATAGACATTCTTGTTGCTGCGATAACAATTTTGATTAAAAATAAATCAATTAAATATTTATAATGTTCTATATTTATCAAGTATTTCCTCCTTTACTGTTCAGTTTTCTATCCAGACTCCACACTCTATCATTTTTAATTCCTCATTTTTCTATCAGAATTTTTACGGAATCATTTATTTCGTGCAGGTTAAAATACCTATGTTCTAAGCTGGAAGTCTACTGTTTACAAAAAAATGTACATCAGAACTCGACTAATAAGTCCAGTGATATTTATTACAATATATAGATTAGTTGTGAAAGTATGGACCGAGAAAGACCGAGTTTTTAAAATGACGTCTTACATATGCGGTTTACCTTTAAGAAAGGAAGAAATATTTAGCAATTGTTTCGGGTTTAACTCTTCAACTCAAATATGAAAAAAATATTCAATATTTTTACTTGAAATATTTATTATCTACTTGATTTGTGTACCATTCGATTTCAATTTCTATACATTATTAGACCAACCAAAAATTTTTGCGCCATTCTTTCTTCTGACCTCGCTTGAGGATGCGTTAAAAGCGAGCTTCGAGCTTGGCAATTTCCATTGCCTTACAAAAGTATCTTCTCTTCCGCTGTATATTCACTTTGCATTTCGTCTATCTTTTCAACAAGTCATTTTCCGCGATGCTTTCTGATGCTCGAGCTGTGTATTGCAAAGAACATGACGAGCTGTGGATTGCAAACAAGGGTTGTTGCAGTCTTGCAGCTGCCTCGGCGCCAGGCAGGGCCTTCTTCCCTACGTACGAATGCAATGCGCGTGCAGCCACTTTTACCAGCACAATACCTCTTTCTCTCACCACCGCTTTTGTGAATCTCACTCACTCACTTAATCTCCGATTCACGATGCTCTGGCTGCAGGCGCATTGTGTTCGAATTGCGTTGAACAATGGCTTTCTGCAAACGCTGTAGTCGTTAAGGTAGATGAGAGTAATTTTTAGAAGTGACTGTGTTATTTGGTTATACAGAGAATGATTTAAAATAAACATTGAAGGGATATTGTTGTCGTAGATTACGTGCATGATTATGCGATAATTTGTCATTTAATAACATATCATAGCGCTTTGTATTTAATTTAACATTTTAATGTCTTTAATATAAGAAATAGGTTAACTCTTTCATACTATATCGTATTTTGCACTACATGATTCTTATTGCTACACTTAGTAGATTCTCAGTTATATAGATTTCTATATTGCATGCAGAGTATACAGTTATAATACATGTGATGAGCGCTTGTTTTTAACTCATACGTAGTCTTTTGTCACACCGAAAGTGTCGATAAGCTTTGTTTTATCCACCACTACCACCATCACACCAAACACACCCTGCGGCACTCGCAAGTGTGGAGTGTCGTGCGTAGCTTGGATGGCACTCTGTGCGTCATATCACCACCGTACTCTTGATCTCTGCCTCCCCCTTGGGCTGCCGAGTAACACGTCGCTTCCACCACCACCCCTTACCACCCCCACAGGGCCGCGTCTCGTGTCGCGTGCCACCCCTGCCCAAGGACCCCCTCGCGGTCGCCGGCGGCGCTTTGGAAGGAAGCAGGTGGCACCTCTGCTCACGAGCGGAAAAGCGGGGTTTTCGCCGACGCCAGTGGATCACGCAGCTGTTCAAGTTTGGTTCCCATACGGCAACGTTAATTTCCGTTTCCTTATCTGTCGTAGAAAGTATTGGGAGAAAAATACTTTCTTTGTAAAGGGGAAAACGTCCACTTCCAAATGATAAAGCCTGGTCATTTTGGGACTTCACTGATAGTTTGGGTAACATTATCATTAACAGTATTTATTTGTTATTCTTTTCGAATGCAAAATATGTTAATTATTGACTTCCTCTCTTTCACTTCGCAGACAAAAATTTGAATATCTGATATTTGATTTCTCCTTTTATTTCTTCTATTTTTTTGCCAGCGAATATCGGATCTCATTTCACACTAACAGCGAATGTTGACTATCGCAAATCGTATTTATGGGAAGCATCGATTAACAACCGACAGTTTAAGTCACAGATACAGTGTAAGCCAGCATCATTTTTTGTAAGCGGATAGGATGACATTGGAATACATCGGACAAATGGAGTGCAAATAATAGGCGATTCATTAAGTCAATTTTACTTGTTAACGCTGCAAAATATCATGGTTTCCAGGCGCCACCAATTTCTCGACATTACGTGAATCAACACTCACTCACCCGCCCTCCCATTGTCTATGTAAATCCGACAGTGTCTCGGAGACTCACCAAGTAACTTCGCATAGAATTCTTACTAGTACGTCAGTTTACAGAATGTGAAGGCTCTCAGCTGTCCGGTCGACGCCGCGTCGAGGGCAGTGAAGCCCACGTTTTAACCGTCACATCGTGATCTTCTTCAGAGATGGAGACACGCCACTTCCCTCCACTTCAGCATTGAAGAAGATCACGATATGATGGTCGAAATGTGTGCATCACTGCCCTTGACGCGGCGTCACCCGAAAGCCTTCACGCGACTCTGCCCGCTGCCTACGATTGCATCAGTTGAAGCAGATATGGAGAATATATTATTATACTATTATATTTACTGTGGATTTTATATTGGTGTCCCGGTTTGAATGAAAAAGGCGGAAAGAATTTTATTGTTCTGAATAAAAAACAGAATCAAATTCGTGAATAAAGTGAGTAATTGTGCCAATTCAATTTTATGTTAACTCGAAACCATAATCGAAAATTTATTAATGATCTTGTTAATGTATTATTACAAGTATTCGAACATAAACATTCATGATTTTCATTTATTACGTACATTTTAGTTCAGGATTTCATTTCAGCACGCCGTATAACACTATTGACAGCTGTACAATTTTAAAGAACGATATTGACACTTAGTTGTAGTATATCGTAGTGCTGTCGCACCAGCAAATACAGTATTACGCTGATCAAAAACGCTCTTTTGTTATATGTAAACTGTGTTTTTAATGATGTCGACTATTTCCAACAAGATCAAAATTTCCACGAACCATTAATTGGAACTAGTCGTCAGCATTTCTCATAAGTAGCAACTTGGAGTCTGCTATTTGAAAAAGGTATTTAAGACCCTTAGATTCTCCCGGTGGAAGTCAACTTACAAGTTTGCGTTCGTCCCTTTTCTCAATAAAATAGAACTTTTCTTCGACAATACTTGAAAATATCCTCGACTCTTGGTTTCGCTATAACCATAACCTTCTAAATGTTATAGAAGAAGAAAAATGGTCATTTCTTAGTAAATTGACGTATTAAATGAAACATTTCTTCGTAAATTGACGTATTAAATTCTGGATCATCTAAGTAAGAAGGATGCGGTTGTGTATTTTTTATCACCTGAAATGTCTCGCCCAGTATCGACAAGTGTCCAACTTATCCGACAATGAAACGAACAAAGAAATTTCGTAACTTATTATTCCATTAATTAACTCCTGGAATTATGGAGTAAAAATCGTATTACAATTTTCTTGTTTACAATGGAATATTGAAAGCAAATAACGTGCGTTTCGTAGTGTTGCTATGTCGACAACTTTGTCCAAAAGTTACCCCTTTTGGACTTGTAATAAGTCTTCCACCGAGAGCTTGTAAGTGACAGATAAGTGTACGTGAACTATGAAAATCGCGTGCGATTCGTGTCTGTGAGCGTGCGCAAACAAGGCGCAAAAGAAACGCTGAGAAAGAGAGAGAGAGAGAGAGAGA